CTGCTGCTGCTGCTGCTGCTGCTGCTAGTGGCAGACTTGGCTGCTTTTAGGGACCTTGCTGGTGCTTCTCATTTAGCTGCTGCTGTTGCTTGTGGTGCTGCTGCAGCGCGGCACCGCAGCGGACCTTGCTGCATTTGTTGCTGCTCGCCAAGCCAGCAGCAGCAGCAGCAGCAGCAACAGAAACGGTCGCTGTGACTCTCCAGAAAGGCGAGAGCTAGCAGCAGCAGCAGGCCTTCCAGCAGCAGAAAACTCAGCAGCGCCAGCAGCAGCATCAGCAACCCCTGCAGCAGAAGCAAATGGCACAGCAGCAGCAGCAGCAGCAGCAGCAGCGGCAGCAGCAGTGCCACCCGAGACAGCAGTAGCAGCACCAAACTGCGTCTCGAAGCTTTTGCTGCCGCGGCAGTGCCGCAGCGTCTCCCGCTTTCACGCAGCGATTTGCTACCAACCTGTAAACCCTAAACCCTAAACCCTAAACCCTAATTCTGCAGCCTCTGACGCTCAAGAACTTGATTGTTGCCTTGCTCCCCGCAGCAGCCCACGTGAAAGCTGCGTAACCCCTAAACACCCAAAAAACCAGGGTTTAGGGTTTAGGGTTTAGGGTTTGTGCGCAGGCCAGCGGCAGCTGGGTCTTGACAAATTTTTCCCCACGGCGAATTTTCGTTGCTGCAGAATTCTGCAGCGCAGCAGAGCAGCAGCAGCTGCAGCATCAGGAGGAGGCTAGGCCTGGTAAACCCTAAACCCTAAACCCTAAACCCTAAACCCTAATTGCAGCCCGAGCTCTGCCTCAGAGCTTTCCGCAGCCCGCTGCAGCTTCAGATGCAGCTATTTTTGCGGCTGTCCCACTGCCTGCTGCTGCGTGTGCTGCTGTTGCTTGTGCTGCTGCTGTTGCTGCTGCTGCTGCTGCTGTTGCTGCTGCTGCTGCAGGAGAAGGTGTTGAGAATGGGGGCTACGCTCTGAACCTTCGAGAGCCTCTTTGCCTCTCGCCGTGGAAGTACCGCATCATGCAGCAACAGCAGCAGCAAGAGCAGCAGCAGCAGCAAGAGCAGCAGCAGCAGCAGCAAGAACAGCAGCAGCCGCAGCAGCAACATTTGATGGAAGACGGGGTTAAGGGATCTCATCAGCAGCAAAACAACAGCAGCGAAGGGGCTCCTGCTTCTCTGTGCAGAAGCAGCAGCAGCTGCAAGAGCAGCAGCAGCAGCACCAGTAGCTTTAAGATCAGCAGCAACTGCAGCAGCAGCAGCAGCTGCTGCTGCTGCTGCTGCGACAGCAGCAGCTGTGTCTTGAGTCCTCGGGCAATTTTGCAGTTAGCGAAAAACCTCCAACTGATTTGGCGGCTGCCGCTTCCCATCGCAGCCCAGCCATCGTAAATCCTAAACCCTAAACCCTAAACCCTAAACCCTTTCTACGGCGAAGCTCCGCGTCTGTGCTCTGCTAAACCCTAAACCCTCGCTCGAGCTTCAAGTCTCCAGGATGACATTTGTGTTCGCAGCTACGGCGGCACGGGTTTAGGGTTTAGGGTTTAGGGTTTAGGGTTTGCTTGGGGTTTGTTGATGCTGCAGGACTGTGTTGAGGCGGTTTGTGCGCGACATTTCAAACAGCAAAGTGCAGCAGCAGCAGCAGCAGCAGCAGCAGAAGCACGTGCTTCAGCTGCAGCAGCAGCAACTGCAGCAAGGTCTAGCTCTTGACAGCAGCAACACTGTGCTGCAGCTGCGGCTGCAGCAGCTGGAACAGCAGCAGGCGGAGGCGCAGCAGCAAAAGCAGAACCGGAAGCAACAGCAGCAGCAGCAGCAGCAGCAACAGCACGGTGCAGGTGTCAAGCACGAAGAAAAACAGCAGCAGCAGCAGCAGCAGCTACTGCAGCAAAAATGAACAGCTGCTGCAACAACAGCAGACGTTGTAGCAGCAGGGAGCAACTGCTGCTGCAGCAGGGAGCAGCTGCTGCAGCACAAGCAGCTGCAGCAGCAAGAACAGCAGTTACTAAAGCAGCAGGGATCAACCGCTGTTGCAGCAGCAGCAGCAGCAGCGTTGCGGCGACTGAAAACAGCAGCCGCAGCAGGAGGGAGCAGCAAAACCTAATGCACAAGCTTCGAAGCTGCATCAGCAGCAGCAGCAACAGCAACAGCAGCAGCAGAAGCAGCGGCAGCACTCAAGTGACATTGCT